TGACTGCAGTGCCATGTGACTGCTGTGATCATTAATGTGTCCTGATGCCAACGGGTATCCTGATGACCCACATCTCAGCGGTCCACTCTCGCTCTCTGGCTGCGGCCCAAAGCAGACCTCCCTCTCTCACTCACTCTGCTGCGGCCCCTCCCTGCAGTCACAAGCACTTAGTCTGCCTTTCTCAGTGCTCTGCAGCCTCCCCAGGACCCAAGGCTGACTCCACTGGCAATTGTTTACAGCTCAAAGTTCAGCAGGGATGAAAACTTCTCATACAGTTAACAAATCAATGTTTCAGACAGCTTCATATATCTCTATATGTATTCACATTTGAAAAGAAAAGTAGTTAGTGTATTCTGGGAGAGAGGTGGAGTAATAAATCGTGCAGATTTTCAACCAAAAATACATTCAACATAATTTTTATAAACCTTAATGTTCCTTCTACTATAACTAATACAGGAAGTAAGAGAAAGTCCAAGCTACCTCAGTAAGAGGAATTACAAGGTCTATTTCATAGTTTCCATTGTTTAGAGAGCTGTATTAAGATGATTCTCTGTTGTGGGAACATGTACCAAATTATTGTTTATTTGATTATTTATTGATTATTTACTATCTATTTAACCAGAATCTTTAGCCACAAGCACTAGGACAAAAAAAACCTGCTCTGCTATTGTCACTCTTTCTTCTATTGTCACATTTCTATTGTACATAATTATCTCCTGCACAGACTTTAACCTTTAACACGTTTACACACTTCTGTCTTTTGCACAAACTGAGTGATTCTATCCATGCCAAATGTGACATGTAAATAACACATTTATGATAATGTATGTGTGTGTCTTACTAGCACTGACAAACATTAACCCTTGCTCCATCTCCTAAAACACAAGCAAAGAGGTGTGGATAAACACATGCACTCACACGCATGGTTGAATGATATTTTTGCTGGAAAGTTGGACTCAGAAAAGAGACTAGGAATAATAAATGTCATAAACCTCGCTTTGGAAGCACTTGGTTAAGCAGCACAAAGCATCCCATTTGCAAGCATTTGTTCTGAATAAACTCAAAGCAAATACGGTACATTATCTAAAAACATGATTTTACTGTCATCGGATTTCCGCCTGGTTCCCCGTCACTGAATAAATGAGCCATGATACGGTACTCTCACACATTCAACATCTTTGCCTTTCATCTCCCATTGTGAAACAGCCGCTTTTTAGTTGCATGCGCCAAAAAACACACATCTGCACTCTCCCTTTGGCTAACCTTTTATCTGCCTTTCTCTCCGGAGACCGTGTCCCCTCACTCACTATCACTACTCCTCTTGTCTCCCTCTGCCCATCTCTGTCTTTCCCTCCTCTTTACTCTCCTCTGCAAACAAGTTGGATTTATAACACTGGCATTGTTGACTGAGCTTCTTTATCAGCGCCCGCTTGGCTTTCTAGCGGCTTCTTGCTGGTGCCCAGTTTTCATTAGCCGCCCATTTCCCCCAATTAAACATTTGAGCGGCATTAATCCATCTTGAGACCAATTGTGCATTTCTCTAACAAGACGAATGCAGGGGTTAGAATACCAGTGGAAACATAATTGCCCAAGTCTATGATTACTCATTGTAAATTTAGATTTTTTTAACCATCCTTATAAAAGCATGGACGATGAATTACTTTATTTGTGATTATTTTAGAAGAAATGTAAATACTTTCATAGCTTTGAAGCACAAACAAATCTGTCTGTAGAGTCTGTATAACTAGTGCTCGCAAAACAGTTTTGCTTCTATCACTTTTCCATTTGCATTCAGTTTTGGCCTCTGTCCTCTTCCTTTAGTATTTCAAAGTTTTCTAAAGTAAAATGAATGTGTAAAAGTCCCACAGTGGGGAAAACAGGATGTTCTGGTCAGATTGTATTCAAAATGTTAATATCTTTCTCTTGGGCCAAACATAATGTGTTGAAACAAAGAAATTCAAAGTTAGGACATCCAGATTTATATGTTAATGATCAATCACAAGATAATATATACAGTATTTTTTCATCAGCTTGCATTGACTATACTATTGACAATACTTTGAATTCATTTTAGTCATTATATGTGTTTTCATGTGTTGTAGCTGTCTTTAAACCATCCAGTCAAAGAAGCCAAAGAAACCATCCAGTGCCTTCTTTGTGCTATTCCCAAGCTAGTAAAAAGTTATGCCTAAATGGACATTTTGTTGTAAGATATTTGCCAAATGAATATGTAAATAACCGAACACTAGAAGGCAGATGGTTTGCTGAGGCCAAAAGGAAAAGCGTTTTTTCTTTACAGCGGGCGAGTCAGTCTCACGCACCGACTTCCGATCAACACTTTTTTTTTTTTTTCAAGAGGGGAGTTTTCACTGACCCACTAAAACGCTTTGAAATTCAAACTTCTCTCCCTTCGTTCCAGCCTTCCTCCCCTCCTAACCTCTTATAATTCTCATCCACTCCTCATCTCATGCTACTCCACATTCCGAGAGCGTCCTACTTCCTACATTTGGCTCTTGCTTACCACCGCCCATTACCGCTGGTAGTCTATCTCTGCGTTGCACACATTTATAGCGAAATAAGCACTCGGTTAAGTGACAGTCACCCCGCCGCCGACACAAAACTGCTCAAACATTCCGCGTTAACAAATCCTGACACCACAGTCACACATGAGCGGCCAGACTCCTATTCACTGTCGCGTATAGAAGGACGGGATTGTATTTTGGAGGTGTGGGCTTGTAGGTGGAGGCGGGACGAACTGGGGAGGGGTGGGTGGGGACTGCAGAGGAGTTAATTACCCCCTGCGATCAATAATTCATTACGCTTTGTCAGTGTGTGTGTCTCCAGGTCTTTCCGTGTGTGCGTTGGCATGTTTTGACGGTGCGCGTAAGCATGAAGAGAAACCTCCCTACGTAAGCAGTTTTCTCTTCCCCTCAGAAGAACGGGCAGATTAAGAGGATTGACTCTGTAATGGATTAACTCTGGAGTGTGTGTGCGTATGTATGTGTGCGCGTGTCACAGTGTGTGTTGGCCCGGGATCAGAGACTATATGTATGAATTGATTAGCCTAAGAATCTCCTCTCTCCCCCCGCGTCTTTAATGACCACATCAGCACTTTTTCACCAGCAAACTGGATGGATAATATGGGGAGCTGTCTGTCAAGGAAATGAGACGCCGGCCCTTAAGATGGTCTTGTTGTCACTCAAAGCGCACTCACGGGAACGCTCCCTGTGGACTTGAGGGACCCTGCTGCGTCAGGGCGTCTGCGGTGATAGATGCCTATGGGTTGTTGTGCATTCCAGTTAAAGCATCACTATATGACTTTTGCTTCTTGTCGGCTTTACTGTCTTCTTGCCTTGTGTTGAGAAACTACATTTTGACAGGCCTTTGTAAACAAGAGAAAAGTACGGTAATCGGTTTGTTTAACTTTTTATATTCAGTTATGAGCATTTTAGAATGACTAACACATTTGTTATTCAAAACCGTTTGTGTATTCTTTGTAAAGGTACATTGTTTACACTATTTACATTACTTTAGTGCTTTTGTCAGTGATAGGTCAATAAAGCTGGTTGAACGTTTTAATAAAATAATGCATATTGTTTGTCCCCCAAAGGAAGGGACAGGACTTCTATTCATTAGAAAACATGTTTGCTTTTGCATGTAAGTCAAACTCTAGGCTGATTGAGGGTTGTTCTGTTTTCACTTTTTGGCCTGAATAAAATGATCAAAAGTAAAGCTTGGTGTGTCTATTATTAATTAGAAAGTTACCTAGATCCTTAATTGGTCAAATTATCTCCTTTATAGACAAGTTATACCTAAGTTTAATGCTCCAAATCAGCAGAATTCACTGCAGATTTTGCAGAGTATACTGCTTGGATACTTGGATCTTGTACAGTCTGTGTGTATATATGATGCCTGTGCAGATCCTGCAACTATTGAGCCATCATAAACAGTTCTCAACATCCAGCCAACACATGAGCAACCATCATTCAGACAACTTCAGAAATGTAAATTCCTATTTTCATGCCAAACCACCTAATGTAGTTTATTAATTGTAAATCTGTTTTAACAATCTATACATTGGCTTTTAATTGCCTTGCAAAAGCTACAGTGTTAGCACAATGGGATGTTCCTTTCTTAAAGCTGCACTAACTGACTTTATTTTCGTTTTCATTACAAAAATGCTATCCATGTCCTACAGTGCTTTGGGATATACGTCCTTTTGAAGAATAAGTAGCATAGATTTGTGCTGGTGTGATTTTAGATTGAGTTTTTATGAAACAAGGAAGAGAATGTGTTTCGGGTCGGAGATTGTGACCAATCACAGCGGACCACTAGCCCCCACTTTCGTGAGAAATCTACAGATCCCTGTTAGCATAGACATTAGCACAACAAGCGGCGGAGCTAACCTGAAACTTCCTCGTCTTCGTCACCGGTTACTGCTTACACAGCGAGACAGCCATCCAAAAGAAAGTCCTGTTCCTCCGCACTTCCCAGTTCTATCGTTCTAAGGTCACGCCATTCACATGCCAATCTATATCCATGTATTATCCATATTGGGAGACGCTAGCTCCGTCAACAACAGTGAATGTGAGTGGGGGCGATAGCTTCGTGGGTGCGGGGAGGGGAGCAGAAAGAGAGAGGCCAGCGAGTCCACGGCTTCAAAATCCCAAAGTCAGTTAGTGCAGCTTTAAGAGATGACAAGAAAGACAAGAAATAGTTTCAAGGAGTTGGGCTTTGTAAGTTTAAATAGCTAAAGGAAACTGTCAAAAGACGATTTTGAGGCATAATATTACTTGGTTTAAGGGGCTGATCATCACTATTCCTCTCAGCAGGACCTTGGTTTTTTTCAACTAAGCAAACGCCAAAGCCCACGCCTTCGTTAAATATCAGAAATATAGAAGACTTTCCATATACATTCTAAATGGCAGATAACAGCTAGACCAGAGAAACAAGGACAAAAAATTGACCATTTACACAGTCGGAGGTGACGAATCGCCCACTCACTCCGGGTCCTCGGTGCGACAGAGCTCTTCAGGGGATTTTACGCACACGGACACTCCCTAAAAAGGATTCAGGCGGTACGCACATTCACATTGTTCAGCTTGGGCAGGGGGTGACTCATGTCCAGTGCATTAGATCCTGCTAACGGAGGCCTTGTGTCTGCCAGCAGGAGCAGTATCTGTATGACATGGACTCACACCCTGCTAAGGCTCTGTGACAGCTTCTTTGTGCAGACAAAGTGTATGTTGGGTTGTTAGCAACGGGGAGTGTGCAGTGGTATGTCAGCAAATGTGCAAAAATAAAGACGTAAGTGTAGTAGAAGTGCAGAGAGCGTAAAGGAATCTGTCAAACGAATTAAGAGGAAAGAAATATTTCAACCCTAAACCTAATGATTAGCAGAAGTGTGACAACTATGAATGATAGCCACATTTTCTGCTGGGTTGAAATATTCTTGGGATTTTTGAGATTGTTGAGACTTTCCAAATGGGAAAAAAACTGATTGTTGCGAACACATAAACATAATTATTCACTAATTCAGGTGTACAATAACTATGTTTATCACTCTTTTATCAGGTGCTAAACAGCTGGTTCAAAGTTAGATAGTGTGAGCAATTTTAGATTAGTTTAGTGCAAAAACTACATCAGCGTTATTCACCAGTTTGTTTCAATTGATGGGGAGTAAGTAATGTATTTTTATTTAGTGCATTGAAGAAGTTTAAGTATCTCTTCTGGACTAAGGATTAAATTCCCCTGATGTTTTCCTGAGAACACTAACCATTTCATTGCCATTTTTCCCCAATCTTTCACAAATTTCTTTCAGAAAACATAAGAAACAAAGTCTTACCTGTTTGCTGTACTTGTTTCCAGTCTGGCAGCCGTACTCGGAGCACTGGTCTGATCCCAGAGACATTGCATCTCCATTCCCACTGCCTCCACTGCTGCTACTACTGGAGCCAGCGCTGCCCACACAGGCACCACTGCCCACAAAAGTGTTGGAAGGAGGCAGCTCCTGGACGGCTTGGTGTTTCTTGCCCTCAGCCGGTGGGGAATGTGGCTGCAGATTGACCGCGGGGAGGGGAGAGCTGGATTTGTAGTGCCGTGCCAAGTCTGGACTAGACTGGTGCCTTCTACCTCCACCCATTCGGGGACTTCCTGGATCTCCATCTACAGCGCAGTACCGAGCAGCCAGCCGATCACTCGCACTGCTCAAGTCCTCCTCGTCCTCATCATTGGGGTGCCGTCTCAGTCCATTTACAGTGACAATACCGCTATACATGGAACGCTCTGACTTCCCACCACCGGCAGTTGTTCCAGCTCCAGCTCCATTACGCTTGTCCCGTCGAGGTTTGCGCCCACGATCAGATCCCCCGCCACGGACCCCCTGTGGCTGGGACCCGGGAGGGCTGAAAAAGTCCTCCTCCGGCTCCTTTTTACCTGCTTCATAACCGTTTTTACCCTGAGCCCCACACTGACGAGCAGTGACAACAAGAAGGATCACCAGGATGACGGCTGCGGCCCCTGCCAGGACGCCAATGGCAACACTGAGCCTCTGCTTTCCTAATGCACGCTCGCTGTCTGGGTCCCCTGCAATGTCCAGTGACAGAGGCGCCATCAAACTCTTGGCCACCTGGGAGAGGGACAGATAGAGAGGGGAGAGCAGAGCAGAAAATGAGTCAGTAAAGGATGACACTGTGGGTGTGTGGCACAAAAAGACATCAAACAGCATCTTTAACTTAATTAAAGGCATCAGTGTGTGCTGGTGGGGGAGCGCCTCCATTATTCCCCGACTTATGGAGTGTCACTAAATATATAATTGCTCTTGCTTCCCAGTTGCAACATTTCAAGTTGTGCCTATGATCTCACATCATCTGCACCGGTACCGCCAGTCAGCCTAGGATTAAACCTTTTAAAGCTGATTACAGTGAATTATTGGTGAAAGAAGCCAAATGGTGAGGGTGAAGGAGGAAAAGTCATCAAACGCACAGACTCGTATTCGTGTGAAGACGACAACCCGGCACCAACAGCATGCTCCAACCACATCTCAGCTCTGTCTCAAAACACAAGGCGCAGTGGGACCCTTCTCCAGATTTCAGGCTAGGATGGAATGGACTACTTTAGACGGACGATTTGACCTCTTATGCTGGATGGACTTCTTTAAACAACCAGAGGAAGATCATGTGATATTAGATCTGGCAAACTAAAGTACTGGGACACATGCCAATAATACACATAGAAACACTAATTGTGTTGTTTCAAGAAAAGAGTAAGCTTTAACGATAAGTCATGTTTTAATCTACATCTCTACATCTACTTTGCCCAAAAGCCCCCACTGATAGATCAAGGCTATGCTCACACTCAGAGAGCAGCCGTCCTCCTGTGGACTCACCACCTGCAGAGGGTCAGTGAGGGGCTGGTGCTATGAGACTTGGGTGGCATCTCTGACTGCCACCCCCCTGACCCAGAAATGGATTAAAGGGTAGAAAATGGATGGATGGATGGATCTATATCTTTAATATGTGTCCTTAAAACATAGATCAAATCATATTGGACCTATTCTGAACAAAAGTTTGAAGTGGAGATATTTGTAGTTAAAATACAATGGGATTTGGGTATGCCAGTTTCTTAGGTGAAATGTAGCTGAATTTGGCTTTTTTATATATATATAAAAAAAAAAAAAGACAAAGTCAAAATGAGTGTTTAGTATTGCGATAACGGTATTATTGCGATATTTTTGTCTGCCAAAATAAGCACAACATTAATGACCTTCAAATGCATATATTTATATACTTTTTTGTTTGTTTGTTGTTCTTTTTGAATGTTTATGTGTCTGTCTGTTTTGTTGTCTTTAATAAAAGAAAAATAATACTTTTTTTAAACTTTTTTTATTGCGCATCTTTCCGATATTGATATTGCATGCACCAATATCGCAATAACAATATTTTTTCTATATATCGTGCTGCCCTAGTACAAAGCAGGAACCAAACTTAAAAGTAGTAATAGTAATAGTAGTAGTTTCTAGCTAAACCCCAACAGGTGGATTGCATCAGTAAACAGTGCTTAGACCCAACATGTGTCACATCACAGACTGTACGTTTCTGGCAACAAAAAATGGGTTTTAATTGTGATAACTTAAACAACTAGGAGTGCATAATGAACGTCTACTACAGTTTATTGAATCAGTAAGTAATTCCCTAACAGCAGAGACTTTACTGGAGGTAATAATCCCTGTGTGCAATACAATGTTGACAATATTATTTCATTAAGCACAAAAAAAACTGCTTTTTTTTATTGTGGAGATAAGTAATAGAGAGCCTATTAGTACATGTTGCACTGACTGATATTGTGTCGTGTACATGCTCAAAGCTTGTACACTAATAAAGTAACACTACTGGAAGAAGTGCCTGCAGTCTAAGCATGCCCATTACTTGTTATGAAAGCACGCATGGCAGGAGACAATGAGGCAGCAGTGGTGGTCTGTGCTAGTCGTAAAATCGGCCACAGTCAGGCATCTGAATACAGTTAATCAATACCGAGAAACCTTGAGGGGTGTTTCATTATACAACAAATGCATGTGGTGATATATATATACACACCTACTACCTCCGCCATTCCACACAAACTAGCAGGAAAGAACTGTCATGGAGACATCTCATTGAACGGCTGTGACCCCCGCATCTCACGGTCCACACGACAATTCTTTTAACCTGTCAAAACTAGCTATTATCCAGTCACATAATCCCCGTTGCTACACGCTGTAATAGGCTTCAGGAATGAATAGGTAAGAGATACAAAGTCAAGGTTAAAAAAAGAAAGACTTCAATTTTCTTTTCCCAGGATTGGCTCAGAATTGAAATAAAAGGACTCCACACACTGCAGAATTTGTTATATAGTGAACTAAAGGCTATATACAGTAGCTCAACATATTTCATTTTCTCAACCTAAGAATAGCGCTGCGTTAGGCTTCATTGTTTTATTGTTAGCCATAGCGTGGTTATTGTTTTTAAGTGACTGTTTGTGTATGTGTGTTGGATAGACCTATCTCTGCCTGGCTCTTGCTCTCAGTGAGCCAGCCTCATTGTTCTTATACGCCTGCAGTATTCAACTTTTCTTTCTCATTCTGCCGGGCATCTTAGCGGCTCAGCGCATTCTAGCCTCGTCTGTTGCATTGTGCGTGTAAAAAAGCAATACAGTGAAAGCGTCTATGCAGCTTCCATTCATTTCGAGGCTGAAAGTGCAAGGTATATGGGCAACTTTTCCCAGGCACGAGATATAGAGTGCTCGGCCTCTATGTATAGCGCTGTGTTCATATGGAATAGAAAGCCTATATCAATGCATGCATCCCAAAACTCCCTGTGGAATCTTCAACACAGCGGCTTCAGCTATGTCCTGGGCTCGGCTTCACACCACCACATATCTGTTCTCTCCTCCAAGGATTTGGTTATCTACATGTCACTGCACAAGCCGATGCTCTCAGCACGGATGGAAAATTTCCCAAGACCACAGTATTGACTTGAGCGGTGGAAGCCCTAAATCTTAGCCTGACTAAAGTTCAATACACTTGTACTTGTGGGTAGGATGACAATGGAAACAAATGGATACAGGTTTGAAATACAAGTAGATAAAAAGCTCAGATAACCAATGTTTGTGTTTGCATTTGAGTGTTAAAAGGGCGCTATGAGCCTCCATTTCATTGGTGGAATCTGGTCTAACCCTGTCACAATTATAAACCCTTTTTCTTCTTGATTTTGTAATATAGTTAGGTTCAAGTCATATGTTAAAAAAGGATACATCCTGACATAATCCAACTTTATTTTTTCATTTGAATAATTTCAATACTTGCAATCATTTTATGTATGGCACATTTTGATTTTATGTAAGCATGACCATAATTTACATTTCATGGCTTTCAAGACTTGCCAGTTCGAGCGGATGGTGTGTACGCACATCGACAGGAGAGAAATGCCACACAAACAAATCATAATTGTTTTTCGGCATGAAACAATCGGAGAGGTTCTGTTCCTGCCACTACTCTTGACTTTACCCATCTCAATGTCTGATCGTTTCAATGCCACCATCCAGCATTTCAATATAAAAGGCATTACAAATAATAAACACGTCAAGTTTCTGCACTCTGAATGGCTTCTTCTTTATGCTCAAAGGCTTCAGCGTCACATTGTCATTACAGCAATTACCCAACATGTGGTTCACCCAGTACTGGTAAAATGAAAGAACCCGAGCCATTTTGCAGAGCTGTGCTGCAGAGGTAGCAGCAGTTTCCCTCCCCTAATTACGTCTGGCATCTATCCACCACTCAGTTTGACTTCATTATGAGATGGAGGTATTCTCTCCTCGATGACTTCTACTAAATTACTTCACCAAGTTCCTCCTGACAATCCAAATCCACAGAGCACTGAATCAAAGGCAGCTTTTTATACGTGTGGGGTTACAGAGAGTGAATAGTATGCGTCGAGTTATTGTCATGTGTCAACACTATTTTTACACCTTTTTCCAACGCTCGCTCAAGGACAAGCACAAATTCTTTCTAACGTCTTTTCAGAATGTCTGTGTACACGGTTTTTCCACATGATTTTATGTTGGTAATTTTCGGAAGAATTGTATCTATTCTTTCACTATTCTCTTGATTGAGATGGATTGACTAATTATGCTGCGGCCTTGTTTTTGTTCAATCTTCAATCTCTCAAAAGATTATCTTTCATTATTTCCTCTTCTTTTTGCATGCCAGTTTGTGCTGTCAGGGTTTATAAGATGGTTTCCAGATTAGCTGATACATCTACAACGTTATGAATAAATAAATACAATAATAATATCAATATATTTTATGGGAAAATAGATAACTTAGCACAAAAAAATACTCAAATGCATTACATGAATGCATTTAGAATGTAGTTCACTATACTTGTTTGAAGATATGCATATACATAGTAAGTTGAATGATGATCATGGTAAAGTGGAAACTCAAATGAGAAAAATATGGTTATCTAACAGCCAGGAATAACCTGCAATAACCTGCATGGTCACATAATGGAATCAAATATGGATCAACTGTTTGGACAAAATCAAATACTCTGCTCGCATCCGCGTTTATATAATGATTCTTTCCAATACGGGCCATTCAACTGAATCGATCAGAGGTTAAAGCAAATGCTTGGGGAGCAGTAAGTTTCATAAAGATACTTGACTGATTGTAAATCACCAATACATCCAATTTTTCATTAATAAAAGTGGATTGTACTGTCTACAGTTTAGGGGATGGCTCATAAATTGTATTTTTGAAACAATTATGGGTCTTTATTGCGCTCAACCACAGATTGAAAAATCCCAGAGTCAGGCCGGGCTCACTGTAGGGGGCGATCATGAGCCCAAGATTCACCTGCATCCGATTCCACCAGATATACTCTTTGCTTGTTATTTTTCTGCTGAGGGCAGCTACAGGTTTGATTAACATAATCAAACATACATACATACATACAGACATACATACATACACACATACACACATACAGTATTTAGAACGTAACCACTCAATAGCGGCATATGTTTGAAACAAGTATGCAGCCTCTGAACAGTTTCTAACATGTTGCCAAGAGACTGTGAAAACTAAAGAATGCATTCCCTATTATTAACTATCCATTAAGCAGATACAGTCATTTCTGTTCCAACCCCGAGCGCTATAGCGATTTTTTTTGTCATCCGGCAGGAAAATAGCCCCATTGATGAAGAAGAACTTAAAAGGTTTCCGAATGCCACAGTGTTTGAGACTAGATGGGTTTTGTGATATTTGTGTCTTCTTTCTGACCTTTTCCTCTTCTTTTAGCGGCTCACGGGGCTCAGTCTTAATGTCCCGTTTCATTAACAAACAGAGACCAGGAGACCTTTACTTCAAAGAGGACGCGCGACATGTCTGAGCAACCTTCCACGTGGAGCCTTACACCGCAGAGCTCAAAACAAACACTCCGACCGCAAGGCCAAGAGACGGATAGCAAACACATTACAACACTGCGTTTGTGAAATAATGAACTGTCTGTGGTCTTAGTTAGACCTGTCACCTGATCCCACTTTGATGAGTTTTATTAAGAGATACGAGAGCTCATGCTGGGTGGAGAATGTCTGGAATGTCATTTGTTTGGATTGATTTTTGAAGGCTTTTCAGTTAGAAGTGACATTGAATTGGTCTAGTGGGATTTATAGAAGCATTTTAAGAGTTACACATGTCTTAATGGTGAGATTAACTTTTGATCTGGAGCAATTCATTATTTCAGTAATTTATCTGATATCACTTTATCGGCTAAAGGTTAAACTTTTAACACAACAGAAAAGAAATGTAAGCATATTTATTTGAGTAATATATTGTATTATTTTATCTAAATTCACAAAGATAGATTTTGTAAAAAATTAAATTAGCCTGGTCGTACCACACCATAGTACAAATGACATTTCGTACTAAGGTCTGGAGGTGCTCCATTGAGCTCTGTTTACAGGTGGGAGGGGTTAACGCCTTTTGCAGATTGAAACGATTGGATCTGAGTTTACCGTGACGTATGTAATGCGCCCGAGTGAGTCGTTAGTATTTAGCATTTAGCCTAGCCATCTCCTTTGCTGCTATAATGGAGCCCGTGGGGAGTAGCGCTACAATTTTTTCCAGCAATTACATTTGCTAAACATTCTTCTTGCTCCGGCTTCAATTTCTTGATAGAACCAGAACAGATTACTTTACTATCGCATTTTTCACCATTACCAAACTACAACCTGCCCATTCGACGCAAACTCTTGACGTCACCCACAACTAACAACAACACCCGCCTTCTGCACTCGCTGATTGGTCGGTCGAAATTCAAGCGATTGTAATCGCTAACATAGGGACAAGACCCAGACGTTACATGAAGTGAAATGATGATTGAGCGGAGTGTACGGATGGCTAAGGCCAGGCTAAAACTAAATGGGTTAAAGATAAATAATTATTCTGAAAATCCTCCCATGACCCCCAGCATGTGTCCTGCGACCCCCACTTTGGGAACCACAGACTTAGAGTGCTTAGATTTATTGATTTTCTGGCCAAGCAATATAAATTCCACAGTGGTTCTCCCTCTGTCTGAGTGGGTTTCCTCCGGGCGTTCCGGTTCCCGCCAGCACCAAGCTGTGGTAATCAGGAGGCGGGTCCCTGTGTGTTGCACTGTCGTTCTTTTTGTGTCAAATGCAAAAGTCAAATTTCCATTCTTGGACCATAAAAGGTACTTTATAACTTGGGGATCTCAATAACTTGGGGGTCTCAAATGCAGTCCTCTGTCTGTGCTTTATCGTCATCATCTTTAAAATTATCAACAACTACAGACCATTACTATTTTACTATTACTAATATACTCATAAAACATTTTACATTACAGCATAGTAACCATTTGAAAGGTGAAGATTGCAATTTACCTTACAACCTTCTAACCATTCCGTTAACTTCCTTTACACTTCAAAGCACATAACTCTATTCGAAATAATTATTTCTGAACCTAATGAAATCTGCAGACCTAACTATGAAATCATGGAGTGCATACTTTAGCTGAGCCTGTAATAGAGGGACAAAACTGGGACAGGTCCATCCTCAATACCATACTACACACACACACATACACACACACACACACACACACACACACACACACACACACATACACACATACACACACACATACACGCACACACACACACACTAAGCCTTAATTCTCTCGCTCTCCCACCATCACACACCTAATGCTCGAAGTTTAATGTAGCAGAAAAAACACTTCCGTAATAACAGTTATTTTAAACACAGTCATTATAAGAATGCACATGAGCACACGGGCAGGAACAAAGACACTGCAGCATGTCGCCCTCACTAACGCAAAAAAGAGAAAGATTTTTAGCACAAATAAAGCAGCAATTACTTCTGTGGTAAATGGGCAGAAAATTGTAACACAAACGTAGGGGGAAATTGTGCACTTTTCTTATTCTATCTCCAAAATCATCATCCTACCAGTTCACTTTAACAGCTATAATCAGACGTCATTATTGTGTTGCCTATTGTGCTGTCGGTGCGGCCATTATTTGAATAGATCAAAGGCCGTATCATCACTGCAATTACTGGTTATCATTACCGGCTCTGCAGAACAATACAAGTCTGCAGGCATCAAAAACACTCTCTTATTCATTAAACGTGTCACTTTGAATGCTCCCATTTCCATAACAATTTTACTTACTTGCTTAAAAAAGTTTCAAGAATTTCACCTGTGTGGTATTGTATGTTATGTCAATACGGTTTGGAGTAGAGTTTGATTGACTGTTTGTATTGTGTTGGCGAACTCAACGGTTCGCCAACACAATCGCCTCTGAGATTACTACTGTTGTGATTTAGGGCTAAGCAAGAAGAGATGGAATTGAAGTGAATATTGAAGAATTAATATTTGTTTTTATACAGACATCAATCACCATGTACTTACTGTATATCTGTTTAAGGACATACGGCTCTACTAGGGCTGCAAGATGATTATGAAAATGGGTTTAGTTTTGTTTCAAAATCATGTTTACCTAGTGCAGTTTCTTTTGTAAAAAATACTATAAAGTATATATATGCCTGTGCATAAGTTGGTATAGATATAATTGATAGTTGCAATATCGTAATTTTTTAACTCATTAATTTCATTTTTGATTAAACTAATATCATAATCAATTCAAATAACTCAATAACTCACATCACAATATAAAATCGTATTCAATGTACAACCCTACTGCTATGATGGTCAGAGAGAATGCTTGGATGTACAGTATATGTAGTGTGTTCTCTGATACCTTTTAAACCAGTGACTACAGTCTTCCTTCAGTGGCTCGAATTGCCAACGGTGTAAATGCTGATTCCACTTGAAAGGTGTCAGAGAGAAGTGCATCACGATTTGCTGCATATGATGGTGTTCAATATTTGGCAGGTCGCCACATTGTATTGTGACAATTCATAACACTAGAATGTGGAAGGCGTTTTCAACTAGTGGGAATAATAAGTGAACACCAGTGAATTCTCAATCCTTCTTTGAGCACATACCTCACTATTCCAAACTGGTCGCTCATGTACACTATATTACCTTTATGTTACTTCAAAATCTTAGAAAATCTTATTGTTTGAATGTGCACAAACCCAGGCTTATGTTTTCACTCATTGTAAGTCATTGTGTGAACCAATTTATTGACTAATACATATTTTCAAATTATAATCCAAAGTAACTACTATGACTAGAAAGTTTACATCAGCATGTTTTCGTCATACTGCTATTAACCTATGACAGCTTGGGAGTTCCTGTAAATTCATGGGCTACCTTGCATTAACTGCACTTTTGAGATGTCCCCATATCGGCTCAATGATGTTATAATTACCTCTGCCTAACAGGTAAAGTGATGCCCGGCAGTTGTCTCTTTGTCTTTGAGCAACATAAGTTGTGGGAGGATCACAAGTGCCGTCTGGAAGCAGGATTTTTGAAACACGTTTTTTGACAATGTGTGAAAAAAGTGTTTGGCAAAAACAAAACCAACCTGTGGCCCCTTTTAGGTAGCTCCCCAAAGGATTTAGAGTTTAACAAATGATCTAGAATTAATAATCTAGAATCTAGAATTAATGGGCAATTAATATTGCCCATAATTAACAATTGTAAACCGCTTTGAGACTCAGATCTGCAGTGAAAAGGCGGTATATAAAATAAAGATTATAATACATTTCTAGTTATTACCTATAAGTATAAATATAGGGGTTTACAATATTATGGTATATCTATGTGTTCTCTTATGTTTTGTCCTAATTATTACATCCATTTTTTATTTCGGCTGCAAAAAGGAGTACCTGTCTGCCTCTTTTGTAAGATAAAAGTAGCTCTCTGGGTGAAAAACTTAAGAGACACCTGGTGTAAACGTTATACCCTCTACACGGCTGCATTTGTATCTGACGGAGGAAGAAAGAGAACAAAACACCATACATACTAAGCTAATATGATAAAAGTGTACATAATTTATCCAAAAACTCTTGAAAAACCCTTACCTGTGTATCTACCAGCGTGGCGTTGGCCAGTGTCTCATTGATGAACACATGGACCAGAGCAGTGGCGCAGAGCGAAGGGATCCCGGCTGTCGTTAACCCGGACCACCAGCCTGTGTAGCCCTCTGTGGCGCCGTTCCAGAGGCTCGGCCAGCGTGATGACTCCATTGGTATGGCCGATCTCGAAAAGCCTGAAGGGATTTCCCCCGACCAGGGCATAGCGGAGGTCTGCGTTCGGGCCTGTGTCTGAATCGGTGGCGGACACTGTTCTCACGATGGTGCGAGCGCTGCTGGCAGGTGGCAGGAGGGTGTAGGACTCGTTGGCTGGAGACGTGACTGAAGGGGCGTTGTCGTTCTCGTCTGTGACAAATAAGGATACTGTGGCTGTGGCGGTTCGACGTGGTTCTCCTCCATCTACAGCCTTAACTCTGAATGTGTATGTTGCAAGTTTTTCACGATCGAACGAGTTGGATGAAAAGATAGTACCGGTGTTGTTCTCGATTGAAAAGATTTCTTGTTCCTTCTCTTCTCCATCTCCTTTTTCCCCTAACTTCTGGACCTCCTCATCCATCTCCACAAATAGACTAAGTTCAGCATTTTCGCCTTCATCTGCATCGGTGACTGTCACCATGCCGACGGGGCTGTTAGCCAGAAGATTTTCCTTGACGTAGAAGGTAAAGATTTCTTGAACAAACTTTGGGGCGTTGTCATTGCGATCTGTTATCAGGACTACAACAGTGGCTGATCCTTGCAGAGGAGGGGTCCCCTTGTCTTTAGCAATGACTCGAAGTTCATATCTTTCTCGTTGTTCCCGATCTAATATTCCGGTAGCACGGATATCCCCATTATCGGGGTCTATGTAAAAGGGCCCATTTCCAGCAGAATCAAGAGAGTAAGCAATCTCTGCATTCTTGCCACTGTCTGCATCAGAGGCTACTACTGTAAGCACTCGCTCACCAGGCGAGTTGTTCTCGGCAAAGTGGACCTCTACAACACTTTGGGCGAAAGTTGGGGCGTGATCGTTAATATCAACCACTCGCACCATCAATGAGCTATTGCTGGACAGACTTGGACTTCCAGAATCCACTGCTACTATGGTAACGCTGTACTCTTTGGTGGTCTCATAGTCCAGTAAGGCCGAAGTGTGCAAGAAGTACTTTTTCTTGTTTCTGAAAAACAAAATACAGTTATAATTGACACTCAGTTTGGAAGATCACTTCACTTATATCATATGGTCATGAAAGAAAATAATGTCATACAATGTTGTTTTCAAATGTGTAGAATTTCAGACTGGCCAGTGTCTCATTAATCAATATCAAAAAGACATTATAAGACAGTATTTTAATATTAAGAGCTATGACCTTTGCCATCCACACCCACAACAGACAAGGAAAAAATACGAAAAATATTTTGTGTAAATATGTAAATATATTAGGGTAGTTAACTGGGGTAGTCTTGCACAGTTTTTCCTATGTGGTTTTACTGCAAATGGCAAATAAATGAATCTGAATCTGAAATGAGATAAGGATGTACTTTGTAAACGTGACAAAACTATGCATTACGTCAGGATCCAGTGCTACTTGATGTCCAAATACACATATGCGGCACCTTCTTTAGTAATGAATGAAACCCCATACACTCATTTGAAGGATTTTATGAACTATTAATGGGCACTTAATGGCAGTGAAAAGTCCTATCCCAGAGTCATTAGTCAGAGTTTGCCCCCTCAGGTATGTCTCTCTACTCCAAGTTTAGGTGAAATCAGGAATGCGTCATTACTTTCAGATTAGTGGGCCACTATTAACAGCTTGCTGCAGTAACCATGGTTACTGAGCAGCACAAATACAAATACCATTTGCCATTTTCAATATCATTGCATCACAGTATTTCTTTTGAAACAATGCATTCTTGTCTAATCTTCATATTATAGGGTAAAACAACAGGATGGATTATCAACAGATTAGGGCTGGGCAATATGGCAAAAAAGTAAAATCTCGATTTTATTTTCTGTTTAAATCCTTTTCCTTAATGTTTGCCCTTAAAAATATTTTTTGATCTTTCCAGTCAATAATCAATTTTCAAAACAATTTTTAATTTGTTTCCTTCAATATGTTTAAAAAAAAGTCTTCTACAGACTGTGCTGATATTGCAAGTATAATTCATGTGCAGCTGGAACTCTCACAATATCCTTCATTCGATTTCACAATTTTCACATTTTTCACAAATTTGATTTTTTCAAAAGCCGATTAATTGCCTAAATTTGATTTATTGCCCAGCCCTACAACAGATACTTCTAGATTACTTAATAATTCCACAACTATAGCGGTGAAACATTTCTAAAGAGCAGAACAACAGAATGGATTATCAACAGAGATACTTCTAGATTACTTAACATTTCCAACCCATTAAAAACACAAGCACTCTCTTGACATTTCTCTATGCCGACTTCAAGCCTGCTGGAAGCATTTGCGATTTTTCTCTCCACAAAAACAAAAGTCTAAACCAATTAAACTTCTCTAAAGCGACACCATTAAGGCTGCTTTGTTCAGGTGTGCCATGAACCACGGCGAGGAATCAAATCAGAACATCTTTTGGGGAGAGAAACACCACTTTACAATTGAGCATGGAGAGTGAATCTACTGCAGCTACTTGAGTGAAGAGCACGTTTATCTGTGAATCGGAGGAGAGCTTCTTGTGGGTTGGCACAGGCATGTGGATTAGATTCCTCCCATAAACACAGCCCTACAGAGTTTGCCTCCTCTCCAGACTAGTGTTGTTCTTGTGGTGTTCAATTTCACCACTAGGCCAAAACAAACCTAAGTTGACTGAAGTGGGGATGGAAAGCATGAAAACAATTCTGAGCCACTTTTAAGGATTTAAATATGACTGGGGCCAGCAGCAGTCATTTTTTGTTTTTGTTTTTTACTTTGAGTTGTCTAATTACAAGAAAGTGCTATGTACGGCTGATGTGTGTAGTAATTCTGTTGTAAGATGTTGTAATTAGGGCATGTCTGTCTATAGATGTTTAGGCAATTAATTATTCAAATGTGTCTTTGTCCACTAAAACAAATAGTCACAATATTGTATCTAAATTACAAGGATTTCTATGGGAAAACAGCAGAAATCACAAGCGGGCAAAAACTTTGGTATTTACTTTGAAATTCAAGTCCGATCTCTTCTCTCAACTCTTCTTTCACATTACTTTCAAAACTCTATTGATAGTGACTATAAATAGATCCCATGCCAACATTTTTGTGAGTATAGTTGAGTTTTGAGTTATGAGATCCTTTTCATTGACAAATCGATCAAATGGGCATTTTTTTAGTCAGCCAAGCATCCGTTTGGGTGACTCCAGCCATTGATACCGCAGCAGCAGCAGCAGCAGCAAGAGTAGTAGTAGTAGTAGTAGAAATAGGAGAAGTAGTATCAGTAGTAGATTAAGATTAAGGGATCCTTTATTTGTCCCATAGTCGGGAAATTTCAGTTATAGAGCAGTAGAAATGAGGAGCACACAGCACAAGAGAAGTGAACGAAGGCTACTGTATACTAAATAAAATGAAACTAAATCTCTACCTCTAGCATCAATGAACAAGTATAAATCTCTATCTTGAAAGTAGTAGTAGTAGTAGTAGAAGTAGCAATAGTTGTAATTGTAGTAGTCAATGCTCAAATTTCATCCATACCATCCGACTTTCATTTCAGTACTTGACAATAACACTTATGAGGTCTTTTTGATATACTACTTGTTTGTTGACAGTTGAAAACAATATTGCTACTTTGTCTCCCATGTTGCCACAAAAGAGCTCACCTGTCAAAGGCTTCATCAGCGGGCAGAGGTGGGAGGGCAGTCTCTCCAGCTGGTTTCAGGGTGAAAGGCACGTCTCCCACCACTGTACACGTCACTGCTCCATTCTCCCCCTGATCCCTGTCGGACACCTGCACCAGAGCTACAGGAGTGTCCACCAGAACATTCTCTGGGACCAACGCCGCTCCATCGCGAACTGGGATTCTTCCAATTTTCCTAATTTCCACACTGGGGACATTGTCATTTTCGTCTCGGACAGACAGGACGACAGTAGTGCGGTCAGTGCGTGGGGGCTGACCTCTGTCTCTGGCCGTCACGGTGAACCTGAGCTGGGCCACTTCCTCTCGGTCTATCCTGTGGAGCACACTGAGCCAGCCTGTCGCTTCATCCAAACGGAGCAGACGTCGGACAGACTCGGTGGCAGCCCCAAACACGTACTCCACCTGTCCGTTCACACCGATGTCCCGGTCTGCAGCCCTCACCTGGAGGACAGGTGTACCAGGAGGGGCGTTCTCTGCCATCTCAGCTTCATATGTTGGTCGCTCAAACTGGGGGCTGTTGTCATTGACGTCAGTGATGGACACACGCAGCAGAGCCTGAGAGGAGCGAGCTGGGTTTCCCCCATCTCTCACACGGAGATACAGTTCATAAGAGTCTTTTAGTTCTCGGTCCAATGTTCCCTTCACAATGAGCTGTGGTTGCTTCTCGCCATCTGGTATATCTGCCACCTGGAGCTCAAATACACTGCTCCTGGGGCCAGCAGTGTCTCCACTTCTGCCTCTTCTGTCTCCTTCTATTCGTGTGTTGGTGGTTCCCCCCACTGTGCGCCTAGTGGATGTTGGGACAGTTGCCCCATCTTGAATGAGTCATATCTGTCAATACCATTTTTGCCAAAGTCTCTGTCTGTGGCAGTGGGCAGGAGGTACAGCGTGCCTATGGGGCGATTCTCCTCCACTGAGAGCTGGAGCACAGGTGAGGGAAAGGAAGGAGTGTTGTCATTGATGTCTGTGATGACCACTCTGCCCTCGAAAAGGTCAACCCAGCTCTGGAGAGGCCCAATCACTGACACTTCAAAGTCTAGAAAGCACTCATTCTCATCAAAGATCATCTGGCACTGGGGCAGTTTTTCTCGGTCTATGCGCTTTTGGCCCGTGGTCAGCTCTCCTGTCACATTGTCTATCTTGAAGTATTCAGAGCCACTCTCCAGAGCAAACGTCACATCCCCACTGCCTGTCCCTGCAGTCAGGCCCAGGTCTGCGGCCACGTTTCCTATCTTGACGTCAGGGGGGCCCTCCTCCGCCACTCGGTACCGGAGAGCTGAGTGTGCAGACGGGAGCTGAGTCAGCAGCTGCAGCGCCAGCAGCAGGAGGCTGCGTGGATGCACTGCACCAAGCCTGTGCATGGCTCCTCGTGGCTGTAGTACAGGTCAGTGTAGTGTGCACCTAACAGCGTGGGCGACTTTAGTCCGATCCCTGTCCGCTCACAGCGGACTTCAGCTTCACGTCTACTGCAGCCTCCTCTTCTCTTTGGTGCACTCACTGATGAATCAAAAACTTCTACAATAGAAATCTTTTTGTTTTACTAGAGCGTTGGTGCAATACATGAATTAAAAAATACATCCCGCTGTGAGAAGAAAGAATGTGAAACTAATTCGCCAGTCTTTGATTAATCCACCCCAGCGTCCTTTCTTATTTCTCCTTTGTCAGAACTGCAGCGCTGCCCTGTCGCCGGCTTATCACTTCATAAAGTCATTTGAAACTTATTTTTATTCCAGTCACATTTGGGACAGCGGCTTTTCACAGTTCGAAACTGCAATGCAGCACGGTAACACAAAAGAACACTGTGCTTTTCTCACCGGGCAGAAGCGCCAAAATCCTCACATATCTCCGTCGTGAAAGAGGCAAAAAGAGTCCAAAGTGTGTAGATGTGTGCCTGTCCTGCTCCTCGCTCCGGAGCCAAGAGCCTTTTCTACACACGCCGCAGTGGAGCCGCGTGCCAACCCCACGGATTCCTCCACGCAACTTACGCGTAGACAAGACTTTCTTCAACAAGATTTCCTTCGTGAGCCAAAACGACAGCTTCTCTGGTCCTAGTTTCCTCGCTCAGGAAGCAGATCCGGATTCTTGGTTCAACTATGAGTGTAGCATAGTCCTTGCGCAGTGCTCACTCGGGATACATGTGTCGAGAGTGGATCATGCGTCTATTTTCCGAAGAGTCCCGCATTCTCTCTCTGACTTCCTCTGCTCTCTCTCTCTCTCTCTCTCTCTCTCTCTCTCTCTCTCTCTCTCTCTCTCTCTCTCTCTATCTATCTTTCTCTCTCTCCTCTCCTCTCCTCCTCCTTGGGCTTTTTGCCTCTCACCTGCACTGCTCGGGACTGTGCTGCTGCTGCTGCTGCCGTAGATGCTGCAGTCTCCCTCTTTGACTCCACTGCGCGTAACTCGAGCACTCAGCTGAAACGGGAGAAGCATGCAGGGCAGGCGCACTCATACCAGTGGATGTGTGCGCATATGCGTCGGTTACCGGGGGACTGACCTGACCCCCCTCCGCGCACTCCTCCCATCCCAGCCCCTCTTGTCCTGTCATACAGTCAGATTAAATGTCTCTGTGTCCCGGGCCGCTGACAGCTCGTTGTGGAAGAATATCTTTCTCCATAATATTCTTACAGTGGAGAACATATATTGGCGCTTATACTGCTCAGTTGAATTCTTGCTGCGGCAGCTCTTTTAGCCGGACAGAGGGGCAGTCGGCGTTTCATTCAGTTTTTTTTTTTTTTTTTCATGATAGCGTGGAGTATTGTAGGCTACTTCCTTCACAGCATGATGCACAATATCATTCTTCATATGCAAACATACATAAAAAGGGACATATATCTTGCGCACACATAGCAGCTTGTCAACCTCTGAATTTATAGCCAGTGCCATTGCTGACTATTACTTGTTCTTGCGTTACACGTGGTCTTTTATACATGAATGATGATCCTATAGTCCTTCTGTCATTATTATTCCTATATAAGCACGTTTGAATGTGCTTATGTTACCTACTTGAGCTATACAATCATAAGTAGAGATAACTAATGAATAATTATGCAGAGCCCCAAGTAAATGCATAATGCAATACTCAATATAGGCTGAAAAAGTAACTACTAAAAACAATCATAGAAAGCATATCAGATCGTATACAGGCTGCATCACTATGTGCCATATAGTGCATTTAATGGAAGCTTCATGTGAAAAACAATAAAGCCTGTGTGGAGTATTGACTGTTCCATGCGCTTTCCCTGAGCCCTCCCACATTCTCTGACGCCCCATACATTGTGCTGCTTGTGGCTGTGTGTCTCAGTGGAGCGCCATGCTCCGAGGAACGCATTGCAGCACTGCTCTCTCTGCTGCTGTATTGAACAGAGTCGGGGCTTCCACTCCGCCGCTCTCCCTCTGCATGTATAATGTGTGAAGCAGCGGCGCACTGCTCCTTCTGTCGGACAGTCCACCGCGCATCTGTAGTCACGACGCATCCAAGAACTATAACTGCACTTGGCAACACAATCAAAAAACGTCAACAATACGTGACCACAAAAAAATGAAAATAAAAATAAAGATAAGATAAGATATGATGGAGCTTTTCTCTTCCCAGTGTGGCAACATTTCATTGTCATCAAGGCAGAATAAAAGGAGGAAAAAAGAGCTCTCAGCTTGCACCGATATTTTTTTTATAGATCCATGGCTTGCACACATCAAACAGGATCTATTATTTAAGATAATTGGTCATAAGATAAAATAATACAATGATAATAATGATAATATTTTTTTATTTATTTATTCTTATATAGCCCTAAATCACAACAGTGGTCATCTCAGAAGACTTAACAAGACCAATGAAATCACCAACACAGATCAGAGAATCAACAGTTTAAAACACAAAAAAGAATATATTATTATTATTATTATTAAACTTTATTACAGACACGAAGTCCAGATAAGAAAGACATTACACAGAAACAAAAACAACAATAATCATAAAGATAAGCATACATGATTACAGTAGACTACGGTACCAGTGACGCCACAGTTCAGACTGATAGCGTGTGGCACTGTTTCTGATGTTGGTCAGGCTCATGATCACATTCTGACTTTGATTCAGTCGACAAATAAATCTGTACATCAGGTTTCTTAGTACAGCACGAAAAGTTCGAATCCCAGAAGAAACAAATAATAGGCTGGCACTCTCCCACCGAGACCTTTTCAACAGGATTCTTAGGCAGTCATTGTATGCCACATTTAGCTTCCGCATGCTGGATTGTCTATAGTTTGACCACAGATGTGCCGTATATAACGGTGTACAATAAGCTTTAAAAAGTGTCTTTTTCACTTCATCTGTGCATGCACCAAACCTGCGCACAAGCCTATTGGCCTGTGCATACATCATGCGGCACTGCCGTAACACATCGTCATCGTCAGACAGGTTTTCAGTAATAAAATGTCCCAAGTACTTATATTTGCTACCCAATATCAGATTATTTCCACACAATTCAAATTGAGGAAACTTCAAGATTTTGTCATCTCTTGTCCGGCAAATCATTATGAAGCTCTTCGCGAAAGTTCACTGTGGTAGACCCGGCCACTGCTGCCAGATCTACAAGCCTGCTCATCCTCTACTCATTACACCAGCAAAACGCCCACATCTAATCCACCAATAACCACCAGGACAGCAAGTTAAAAGCCGGAGACGCCCACTTTCCCGGCCTTCTGAAGTTTGCAAAGCCTCCGCCGCCCCACCTCCTCCTTCTCTCATCGAAGCGTGCTTGCCTACTGCCTCTGCCGTCACCAGTGCCTAGGCCCCGGGGGGGGATCATGCGCGCGAGCAAGCGCCGCACTCATCAGCATCTCTCCCGGGCCTAGGGCGCCAAACATACTCAATCAACAAACTTCTAACTGCATTTTCCCTCTTGGGTCTCTCCAAAGTGAAATGACACTCTTGCTGGCATTATATTTGATGTCATATTCCATACCATACTTGGAGCAAACATGAAGAAGTTCTTGGAGGCCAGCACTGCTTGGACTCAATACAACAACATCATCAGCGTACATTAGGTGATTTACAAGAGTTGAACCAATCATACAGCCAGTATGATACTGGCTGTACTTGTACTTGAATACATGCATTCAACCATTGTGACCACTCATCCATATACAGACTAAACAACACTGGAGAATATAGAACACATGTTGATAAATGTCCATACATGTTGTAGAATGTTAAAGTGTCCTGGATCATCACCACATCCTTCTAGTTGGACACTAACTGCCTCTCTCAACCTCGGGGAGACCCAGGTTGAGAGAGGGATCCACTCCACACGGACGGACGGGCTATAGATCCAAGACCTAAGCTACAGAACGAGGACCAAGGCCACGCAGCTGTCGCAGAACGTGGACAGATCCGGTGCAGGACTGAAGCAGCTCCCAGGCGGGTTGGGCAGGACAGTCAGCAGGTGAAGATGGAGGAGGCCAGGTTCAGAGGTCCCGACATCTCATTTATTTGAGAAAGGAGGAACAATACATATTAAGGAAAAATTTTACAAATGTAAGTTAGTAAAAAATATACAAAGACACTATTTACAGACTATCTACAGAAAGACAGGTACAAGAACAGTTATCGCATCATGTTAGAACAAGCAACGAGAGTGGACAACAAAGCACAATGTAGAAAACAGTGAAAACACATCTGTATTGCACAAACCCGAGTATTGCACATGACCTATTGTCATCATCATTAGGTATTTACAGATGTTTGTACTGTACGGGGATTAATAAAGTGCACCTTTACCTTTACCTAAAGCCCCAGATCGCAACTTCTAAACTAAAGCATGTTGTTGAGATTTTACAATAGGCTGCATGATGATACAATATATTTCACTATTCTTGCAACTCATGCCAGGTACAATACCCAGGGCCCACATTGGAGCACTTTTTATTGTCAGCCAATTGATAAACATAACATCAAACTCATGGAAATGTGAAAGATCAAAAAGCTGAATCCCTCTTATTTGGAGTCAAAACACAGTTGATGAATCAGAGCCTTTTGTTGAATCAGTGTGTTGTCCAAACTCACAACATGAGAAAAACTCTAGACTAAAGAATGGCTGTAAAGTAATACTGATTTAAAATGCCCTATTTTGATTCATTACAAGTCCTCAGATGAAATGTTTAGTTAATTTTGCCTCAGCTGTGAAAGGGGTATAGTCAGAAAACAACAGTTGGTCATTGTATTAGACCCAAGGCACCAGCTGTACAATTATTTATACTTACCAAAAATTGTAGACAACCTTTGGGAACAAGCCCTGCACAGAGAAAGATCAAACTCCTGGTAAAGTATCAAAGGTCGAATCTAAAAGACTTCAGCTTCAGT